CTCGTATTGCTCTCCCCAATTCGACGTTGGGTACTACGTAGTGGATCGTGATGAACACTGCTCGTTCGTACCATGAATATACCTTGATCAGCCAGTGCCCATCCCAGTTCATAAATACTTTTTTTCCCCTGACCATCAAAACTTCTCAAGTCTGGTTTAAGCACAGAAATTCACGATTTCTCCAGTTTTTTCGTTGATATTTACCTGAATCATTGGAATCTCGTCAAACCCAAGATGGCCCCCAGCCGTATTGATACGCCCCAAACACAATCCTCGGTGCTTCCCCCGAGCAAAGATCTCAAGCCTACTGTAGACGATGGCTATGGTAGCTACCATCCAGTTGATCCCGATACACTCGACCTACAGTCCAACTTTGGTCCCATGGAGCCCGGTTCAGTTGGGTACCTACAGCCAACATCCTTCGACACTCCCCTTGAGATTATGCACGAGCGCTATGAACGCGATGGCTACTTGTTTGTGCGTACATCTCACCAAAATCCAGCTGTCTGAGCATCATAGAATACTTACACCGTTGTGGGCTTTAGGTCAAGAAGTGTATCCCTAGAGAAACCTCGCTTTCCTGTCGCCGTGCCTACTTCGAGCACATGGCTCCCAGCGGCCTGCTGAAGCCAGGCACTGATGCTGTAGAAGGCACTTTCTCTGGTGCCGATACGCGAAAATACATGCCACCTGGCAATTTACGTCGTTTATTCGGCCTGAAGGACGACCCCGAAAGCGATAAATACGTTGAGCTCATGGTCTCAGCCCACGAGGCTCCTTTCTACGTCGACTTCTGCCAATGCCCAGAACTTCGGCAGTTTGTGAGCCGTTTCATGGGCTGGAAGAAGCCTCAAATGCTGCAGCGCACCATGCTGAGGGCCTTTGTGCCCAATAGCGAACTAACCCCTGTGCACTTTGACCAAATGTATCTACGTGCAGGCCCGCCCACAAGTTTGACAGCCTGGGTTCCAATCGGCGATGTCTCGCTTCAAGGCGGCGGTCTAATGTATCTCGAGAGGTCTACGGACATTGGGATGAAGACCGAGCAAGACTTTGCTGATAATGCGCATAATTTGACCGACGAAGAGAGGATAAGCGCCTTTAACAAAAACATGAACGACGGTGGCTTCCTCAGCCGCGACACCGTGGCATTTGGGAAAGAGACCAAACGCAAGTGGTTGATTGCTGAGTACGAAGCAGGCGATGTCATCTTCCATAACCCCTTCATGGTCCACGCAAGTTGCAAGAACAAGGACCCGGAGAACAAAATCCGTCTGGCCACCGATGTTCGCTTCGTGGACCCCGAAAAGCCGTATGACAAGGTAAGCAAACCGGGTGATTTCAGGCCAAGTCCACTGATAAAGCTGACTGAAAAGCAGCGTTGGATGAAGGTGTACCGACCTCTTGACGGGTTGTGAACCATAATTGAACCATGGTGCTTGGACGCAGTTGCGGAAATTGGGAAGAGATTATCATCTATGCTAGGAAACAATCTACAAATCTCACAGCTCTGTATCTTTACTCTCGTATGCATTTGAGGAACCAAGTTGCAATTAATTGGTAGCGTATTAGTAGATTGACATCGAGGAGAATTCCCGTTGGCACCGATCAGCAATTGCATTTACAACCTCGCTATACCATTTTGGCTTTTATGTCCACCAGGGACAGCTCTTATCTAACCGCTTGTTGGGATAGATGCGTGAATTTCGTGCTTTCGTAGCCAAAGATTGCTTATGCAATTAACCTCTCAAGGTCTGATGGAATGTCCTAGCCGTATACGTAGCTAATAATGAAGAGGGCAACGTGCAGTATGCTTGTGAATAGTACAGAATGACTAAATATTGCCAAGCTTAATCACAAAGCTCAACTCTTCACGGTTTGCTTACTGGTAGACACCGGGGATTGGTGGATAATTCATATTGTTTTCCTATTCAAACATGGGTTGGGAATATTCCGCGACCATGGAGAATGGTGGCTACCATACGAATCGACTTTTCGTCCTGGATCCCGTCTACTGCCGTTAGTCGCCATGCGCTGATCTTTTCTTCCCTTAGCCGAAGGCACGCTGGGCGATAATGAAGTTCCGCCCATAGATTCTTCCCCGTGTGGTATCCCCCCTCCTCAAGCTCATACCCCGGATTCACAGCTGACCAATATGCGGGGAACCTGGGGACAAATTCAAGATCTTTCTAACGACTGGGCGCCCTCTGTCATATCTCCTCGCTAACCGCCCCTACTCCGTCTATTGCCGTCCATACACTCTAACGATGGGGGACTAAGCCAAAACAGCTAATGACCCATTACCCCATATCTAACTATGGTGAGGATAGTGCTCATGCTAACAAGAGAGTTTATAACGAGGCAGACTTCCCCCTAAGAAACGAGCATAATGGACGCTATCTCCAAATCAAATTCTCACCTGTGTTTCGGTACGGCTAGCTGTACTATAGCATCATGTTCCACCAACTCCTCAAGAAAGTCATCAAAAATGATGCCATCAAATCAGATCCTTCCGAAATTTACAACTTTCGGACGGTCGTGGTCTGCGTGGTGGCAAGTTTCCCATTCAGAACCCGATCACTTCTTTTCTGACGGTTATCGTTTACATAGGCTTGCGGTGGTGCATTGCTGTTTGGTATGGACATGGGGATCATCGGTGGTGTTCTCACTATGGCCACCTTTAAGAAGTAAGAGATATGTCCACTTCGCAGGCGTATCTCTGCGTTCTAACAAATTACAGCAAGTATGGTCTCACCGGGAAGTCGACTGTTGTGTTGGCAGATCTTTCATCCAACATCGTCTCCGTCATCCAGGCTGGTGCATTCCTAGGCTGTTTGTTCTCCATGTGGTTAGCAAATAAGATCGGTCGGCGGATGTCCCTCGTGACAGCTTCGTTGTTTGTTTTTGTCGGCGTTGCATTGCAGGCCGGTGCCAGCGGCCACCTTGCAGCCATGTATATCGGGCGGTAAGCAGATTGATCCGCCATCCGAGGTTGGATATCGAGCTAATCCTCTAGATTTATCGCGGGTATCGCTATTGGCATTGCTTCAACGGTGAATCCGTTGTATGTATCGGAGAACGCTCCACGTGGAATCAGAGGATTGCTCACCGGTTGCTACCAACTGTCAATTGTCACTGGCCTCACGGTATGTAGAAGACCACTATATAGCTAAGTGAAATACGGTCTTTGCTGATAGATGTGAGCAGCTTGCTTTTTGGATCAACTACGGCTCTCTCCTGCACTTGAAGGGGGACATCCAATATATTCTTCCCTTGGCCCTCCAGGCACTACCAGCCATCGTTCTTTTCATCGGAATGCTCCTTGCCAACGAGTCGCCCCGTTTCATTGCTCAGAAATCTCCCGAAAAGGCCCTTCTCGTCTTGGCTAAGCTTCGAGGCCTGCCGACCGACCATCCTTATATCCAGCAAGAAATGAACGGCATTTCTATGCAGTTAGAAGAGGAGCGGGCTCTGGCAGCAAATGGCTCGGGTTGGACATTGGTCAAGGAAGCATTTACAGTCCCATCAAACAGGAAACGCTCATTCCTTTGCATCACGTTGATGATGTGGAGCAACTTGACTGGAACCAATGCGATGACATATTACAGCCCCGAGATTTTCAAGAGCATCGGCTTGTCTTCCTCCGAATCTGGCCTTTTTGCGACTGGCATCTATGGAATTGTGAAAATGGTTTCTTGTGCCATCTTTATCCTATTTGTTGCCGATAGTTTGGGCCGCCGAAAGAGTCTTCTTTGGACAGGCATCGTCCAGGTACGCTGCATGCCTTGTCATCGATCAAACACCCAGACTAATCCGGATGTGACAGGGAATTGCACTGTTCTACGTGGGATTTTATATCCGATTCGACCCTCCCAAGGCGGACGCTGGCCCTACCGCCGCCGGTTACGTGGCCCTTGTTGCCATCTACATCTTTGCCGCGGTGTACCAGTTTGGTTGGGGGCCTGTCGTATGGATCTACTGCTCAGTACGTATCACTGGAGAGCTTCGCTGTCCTGACATTCTCAGAACTCAGCAATTCTGACACAAATTTCAGGAAATCCCGGCAGCCCGTATGCGTGCCTTGCAGATGGGGATGGCTACTGCGAGCCAGTGGCTATTCAATTTCGTGGTAGCCAAGGGTACATTGAGCATGTTCGCTACCATGGGTTCTCATGGATTTGGAACCTACTTCTTATATGGCTCTTTCTGTTTCACAATGGTTGTGTTTGCTTGGTTCTTTGTGCCAGAAACTAAAGGTGAGAAAAGCTCGGCGATTTCATCATCAATGTTGATGCTAACATTGGTTCTCTCAGGTCTTGCTCTCGAGGATATGGACGAGCTTTTTGCATTTGGGTCGGTCAGGGGCAAGTTTGTGCCGTCAAGAGTCTCTCGACTGGAGGACGAACAAAATGCGAAAAAGGACTCCCCTGCTTTTGAACATATTGATTAGTGGGCATGGCGGTTCCTTAGATTGAAGCTGGACGTGAGACGAAAGACCAGTGAGGTGACATTGAATCTAGTTTATCCAAATATTATCACAATCCGTTCAAAAGCGACAACATCATATGACACAAATTCTATTATTCTACCATAGTCTACGCGGGAGCCACTACTGGTAACCTGGTTTCCTCCAGCTGAACTTCGGTTCTTTTCCCGTTCAATCATAGTAGCATTGCATGATGGTCACATGTTCATATGCAGCCCGAACAAGTCAGTTCAATTCCCCGAAACGGCTGTTCTTTACAGGCTCTTCTGGCCGGATAATTTCACAATCTTCCGTGTCGGAATGTGCATCCCCATGGCCTCTTTGAATGCTAGTACCGAAATTCAATATGCAGTTGGAGACTTATTGCCGTCGAGCCGGTGCGTCTACCAATTGCATTGAAAAGAGCGGGACAGGTTGCATGAGTGCCGGCAACTATATATATCTATTTCCTCATTTTGAAAAGTCAACCGCCTAACCAAAGCTTCTAGTTATACTGATTCTCATACCTTCCAGGATGACCCGCCTGTCAGCCGTAATTTCAACCTTTGCCATCTTGGGCTCTTCCCAAGCTATAAGATTTCTTGGGCGGGTGAATCCAGCAACAAGGGAATTGACTTGGCCTGCTACCGGCCTTTCCTTTTCTTTCACGGGAACTTCAGCAAGTGTGGCGGTTACCTCGATTTCAGGCACTAATAGTGTCGAGTTACTGATCGATGGAGGCACTCCAATCATTATCGAAAACGTAAACGGAACGAGCGTCAGTACGCCCTCCCTTGTGCGAGGTCAACACACCGTTCAGATTCGCAAAAGGTCGGAAACTGTTTACGGTACTTTTGCCCTTGGTGATGTGAAAATCTTCCGTGGTTCACTCGGCGCCGATTCCGTTTCACCGCGACGGATCCATATCATCGGAGATTCTATCTCTGTGGGCTATGGTTTAGATGGAACCTATCCTTGTACCAATTCCGCTTTTCTCGAGAACGCACCCAAAACCTACGGCGCTCTAACGGCCAAAAGCCTGTCGGCTGAGTATGATATTCTTGCTTGGTCCGGGATAGGATTGATACGAAACACCATCGGCTCCAGCGATCCCGTGCTCATGCCGCAGCTATGGACCCGGTACGGCACCAGTGACGAAGACAACAGCTACACGTTTCCCAGGGCTGAGGCTCCGGACATTGTTGTTATCAATCTGGGCACCAACGACTTCTCTTACCTTGGCGTCCGTGACCCGGTTAATGCAACGATGCTCGCCGACGGCATGATCGCGTTTGCAGAGACGATACGGAGCCATTACCCCAGAGCAGAGCTTTTTCTCACCTCGAGCCCGATGCTCAGTGACACATATCCCACCACAGAAGATGCACAACACACGACACATGTGAGTGTTTTGAAGGCGGCTGCGGAGAAGCTCGGTAGCAAGGCGCATGTTGTCGATTTCCCGACGCAGGGTTCAGAGGTGGGATGTGACTATCACCCAAATGCAGCTGAGCATGAGAAAATGGCTGCCATCTTGACTTCAGCTATCAGGGAGGTCATGTGGTGAGTCCAGAACAAGGAGGCGCAGTCACGGATGTGGAATTTAGTGTCACCACGCCACCGCCCAAGATTATCAGGTCATCCCTATTATAAAACAAATGCAGTTGTTGGTAGTCATTTTTATTGAACGCGTCGCATTATACCGAAAGTGACGTTATGCTGCCTAAGGCAACGATAAGGGCCCTCTCACGCTCGTGGCTGCGGACCTAAATCCCCTCAAGCACACTAACTTACATCTCACTCCAATCAATCAATCAAGCACGGCACCTGGAAGTGTTCCAATAACAATGCCTTCCTTAAAAAAGATCTTTCGCCAGTGGAAACAGGGCTTCATTGATATGGTCTCACTAGAGTGGCCACATAGCGGATCTTCTCCCGCATTCGAGGAAAAGCGGGCGAAATGGCAAGAAGCCTGCACTCAGGACTCAGTCCTCGTCGACTTCACCAAATACCTCATGGAAGGCACTCCTACATTTGGCCCGATCTTCAACCGAACGGAAGTAAATCGTTTGCAGCAAATATTTTCGTCTCGCGCGGGTGAGGATAATCGTACGGCCTTTCCACTTGCACTGCAGTTCATAGTTTGGGATATCGAGGCTAATTCGTGCCGTCTAGGCTGGAATCAACAGGTATTTACTTCGTATCTTCTGGCTCAAATTCCACCCGGAGAAGAATACGAAGCCTCCCTACTGAGGGCTATGCCGTCTCTCTGGGCCCTGGCCGTGCACTTTGCAATATGGCCATTCAATGCCACACTGGACCACCCGACGACTGGTCTGACTTTGTTTGAGTTCACCCGCGCCGTCGCCTTCCTCTGCGGTAGGCACAGCATGATGTTCAGGGCCTGGTTCAGCGAAGAATGCGTCTTCAATCGCTATACAGACCAGCCAGTGCTGGAATACATCTTCCGAGGTCTCGCGAAAAACAAAGGGTCGATCAACTCATCTCTGTCCGGGCATTCTGCTCATCTATTTTCCCAACGCGACATACTTGATGTTTTAAATGTAGCTCAGCCAGTATTGAACTGCTGCACACAGACGCTCACCCGGAACGAGCTGAGGCCCATCGCCAACCGGCTGTCTTCGACTCCCGCCGAGCTTTCCGACCTCGTTGTCCAGACGAAGACGCTTCTCCCGCTTCTGGAACTCTCGGTATTGCTCCTTGAACAAGCCAGCAAATTCGACGATACCAGCTGTCCAAAATCTCTGAAGGAACGAATAATTACTGCTCAAACGGAACTACAGAAGACCGAGGACGTGTCGTTTGAGGTCTACCGTTGGAGGCTGGACGGCGATGCGCAAGAGTGGAACAAGACGCTGAACGGTGTATATACCATCTACGACAGTATTGCCCTACTCTTCAACACTTTTACGAATCCTCAAAGCTTAATCACTGGCAAATCTCAGCATTGGCTTTCAGGAGAAGAGAGGACCTTACGTGTTATGTCGATGCGAAGAGTCGGGCTGAATTTTTGCGGTGAGGAAGGGATTCCGCAAAAGTCCACCCGAGAGGAGAAATAGTATCACCACATTTGACTCGCCTCTGCTTGGTTTTTTTTTTTTCCCTCGTTGTCTCTCGAGAATGCGCACACGTAAATTACCAGGTGCTTATCCGCTCTCTGGGGTAACATCCACGACGAGCCAAGCGTTGTGAAGAGGCGGACGTATACGGACAAGCCAGCGTGGCCCTAATTTTACGACCCCCCTCGGACTACAGATCTCATGTGTACCTCTAAGGCCCAATGGGGCTTGATGGCGCAAGGATTGGTCTTTGGGGCGGCCGACTGGCTTGTTGTTGGTCTACAATGGCCAAAATGCAGTTGGTCGACGAAACATGCATGCCTCGTGTTTTGCAATCATTGGAGGCAGGGCTTAGCACAATTATAACCCCTGATGCAGACGTGACCCGCCCCCAATGCAACTTCTCTAGGCAGACATATTTCTATGTCACCTTCTCGCCACAGTTCTGTTGGTCCGCGGGTCGAGGGGCATCGCCGGCTGCACGACCCCCACCAGAGCATGAAGACCTCAACACGAAGTTGAGCTGAGTGCAATTAACGGCTGGCCAGGGGTAGCCAGGGAGGCGACATCTGGCGTCGACAAACGTTAGTCTAGGTAGTTGTCATGGCCCGATCGGCCTGCAATAGTAGCAGTGCATCCATTCCTTACCGTCTGCCATTGGGCCGACCAACACTCCCTCCACAAGCTCATACTCATTGTTCCCTTCGAGCTCGTACCTCAATCCTGCTGTATCCAAGTTTAGACCCCAGCGCCAAATAAAGATTATTCTGTAATTTCGAGGGGGCCAATACCCATTTGCTGCTGCATAACTTTCTCGAGATGGCCACTGTCATGATCAGTGAAACCGCGGATGCGGCGCAACATGGTGACTTACAATGCTGTTTGAACCATTCCCATGAGGGCAGAGAAACTCTATGTTGGCATGCAACGACTCGGTGTGAATATACAGAATAGCAGGCATCCAACCTACCCCCCCTTTTTGCCTGAGGGGTTCCATGTATTCATGCGTAGTTGATTGAGCCTTCTACCCGGAGTGTGAGGCGGCACAGTACTCTGTACGACCAACCAATAGGTACTGGAATACTACATTATACTTGTTGGAACCAAAACCAGAATTTCCAACGCAAAGAATACGACGTTCATGCTAGCCTATCACATGGGGTCCGAGTAACAGTGCCAGATCACCCACTTCGCCGTACGTCTAGTTATGTGAGCTAAGAACTTCAGTCAATGCCGGGTCATGGTCACTTCGTGCCATTATTATCTCAATCTATGACTTCTTGATGACCCCAATTTCAATACATCGGCTAGCCTTCTCGCCCCGGGTAGCCATCTATTTTGATCCCATCTCTAAGCTTTTTCGAATCTGCAGTATCTCTCCTCCCTCCATTTTGGTCCCCATCTCCTGACAATGATTATACTGGGGCTGGCTGCCAATACGACCAGCCCCATAAAGACATATGTATACCCATATCCCCAGGCATCGATAATGTATTGAACGACAGCCGTCCCAACAGCACTTAGAGTTGCTCTTGTAAGATTAAAGGACGAGGATACCCTGCCAGGATTCATAGGATACAGGTCCACTAGAAGAGTGTTGAGGATGGAGACTGGCCCAGAAAGCCCCATGCCGGCAAAAAAGAGCACAACCATCGGAGCTGCAAGGCTGGTGCCAGCGTCAACGACCCATCCCCATACCACGATAGTGATGATAGCAAGTATCGTCGGGGGCCACATCAAGTCCAGCCTCGCCTTCTCAATAGGGAACTTGCGGAGGTCGTCGCCTCGCTTCCTATCCGCCGAGACCCCAATGCTCTTAGCCACCCTGGCATAGTTCCAGTTGAGCATGCGTCCGACAATGACAGACCCGAAAACCGATCCGATGGCAAAGGGGATGTAGCACAGCCCCACCTGGAGATCGTTGAACCCGTACTGCCTGCGGATCACATCTTGCAGCGGGACCAACATTGCGTAGTTGGCCATGACGAAGAGCGACATGAAGAGCATCAGGGGGCCGACATCTTTTTCGAATATTATACGCACTGCCGCGAGAATGTTCGGAACCGGGATTTTGAATGGTTTCTTCATCGGCTCGGGCGTGTCCGTCGCGGGAGTGGCAGACTCGGCCTCTTGTTTCTTCTGACGCCACTGCCTCGAGGAGGCGAGAGACCAGTTGAGCCTTGGGGGAGGAATGGATCCATTTCCGACGATGCTTCGTGCGGTCTATATATCCCAGCTTGTTAGTCCGGTTTTGAATATGCAAATACTACTGCAGGCAAGACCTACCTCTGGAACAAAGGGGACATAGATGGCAACAAAAACCACCGCCGAGATGACGAGAAACCAAAAGGTCGATCGCCAGCCCAGGAACTGTGTCAGGATACCGCCCAGGACAGGCGCCAGCGCGGGGGCAAACATGACGCTCGCCTGCACCGCAGTGATGTATCCGCCTCTCTCTGCGCTGGTCGTCAGATCGGCCATGACCGCACTGCCAATCGCGACAGTCGCGCTGCTCCCCGTGCTCTGGAGAGCGCGGAGGACCATCAGGGCGGCAAAGTTGTTCTGCAGCGCCAGCCCGATGTTGGATCCGAGATATATGGCAAATGTGAGCACGTATACGGGGCGGCGGCCGATCTGGTCGCTCAGGTCTCCAAAGAAGAGCGGCGCCACGGCCTGCATGATTTGGTACACGGTGACGGTGAAATTCAGCTCGGCGACAGAGCGGTGGTATGATTCCGCTATGGGGGTCAGGGCGGGTATGTATATGAAAGACGAGAAGGGGGAGAACAGGGTGCTGAAGACGGTCATCAAGACAACGAAGACCTTCATCCGCGAGGAGAAGACGGAATGGAGGGGCGGTTGTTGTGCTTCTTGGTCCTGAGACGGAGAAGCTGTCGAGAAGCCATCGGGGTTTCCATCTTTGTGATGATTCTGAACTCCCGATTGTTGTCCTGTGGCCTCTTCCTGAGGGAGGGTTGAGGAAGGCTCTCGAGGTCTTTCGTCATCGGCGGAGAGGGTCATCTTGCAACTTTACTCGGCGCGAACACATTGGAGAAGCAAAGATCGCTCACTATCGGGATGCGGCGTCTAAATAGTCATTTCATTCGGCCTTTTTCAAAGGAGATACGGAATTAATCCAAGCATGTCGTCAACACTTCTCTCCTCAAATGAAGTCTTGGAGCACTAGGCAGTCATCTGCCGATTCGGTGCCGATACCTGGTGGTGGACCAACAGATCATTTCCGCTAATCACGGCCCAGCAAAAATGTCTGCCACAGATGCAGCCCGGGAACTAACCGGATGGCGTGCAATGCGGTAGAAATTCTCTCGAACAGTCATAATCTTATCATTTTCTTCATGACGCATGAGGTGGTTCTGGCCGCTTAGCCATTTGCTGCTACGCGCCAAGACGCGTCGAGACACGGGGGAGCGCTTGTATCAAACTATGCGCGTGTTCAAGTTGTTTGGAAGCTCAAAACGAATGCCCAGAGATATTAATAAATTCGTAAGAAATTCCCCTAATCAGGAGGAGCAATTATGCAACTCGCATGTTTCAAACGAGAATCAAATCCGGTTTGTTGTAAGACTTCGCTATTCAAGGTCAACCGCCGAGCTGTTAGTTTTTGTTGTTCTAATCCTGCTCACTCCCCGCTACGTAGTCAAAGAATCCCGTTATGCACAGCCTGCCCTGAAACCCTTCTCTCATGTCCAAGAAGAGGGCACCAAAATCCTGCAAAATGATCTGGCATTGATGGGCTACCCTGTACCCCAAGCTCCTCTAAGAAACTCTTCGGGTTTTTTGTCATCTGGATAGTGTTTGTCCAACATCATCTATTCTCACTTAAAATGAGAAGGGAAGCTACGAGAGTATCCCAATTGCTATCCTTAAGAGTCATCACAGCGCAGGACATGGTGTTCATCACTGTGCCTTTATCCAGGAGATTAATACTTCCCCATACTACGTGTTTGACTTCAGTGTCAAGACGAATGGCATTAATCTCCCAGTAATAGTTTTCACTGAACAGTATTTGATTTCGTAAAAGATGAAACTAGAAAATATATAATAGAAGAAGAACTTAGATCAAGTAAATGGCAACCCGTTGACGCCTCCCATTTCCCGCTTGCCCTCTTTCCATATTCACATCAATAAAACGCCGTCATGTCAGAGCCAGAAAACAACAATTTTTTCACATAAGCACCCCCCAAAAGAATATCCAGATCTTGAAACGTAAAATGATAGGACGTGGCCGATGGGATAACGTCACATTGGCGTCTCTAATCCGTTCTTAGGCTCGTAAGAGATCATCATCGCGAGATGAGACTTTATGGAATGAAAGTGGCAGGTAGTTTTATGGACCGCATGTGAGGCAACCTGCCTGTAGCGCGTGAATGACGGATCAAGCATCCATAAAATGATGAAAATGCAGAAGATCATGATCAGGACCGGAGCCTGCCGGTTGTTGCGATAGGTGGCGGGCATAATGCTGCTGGCTAGAGGCCGGAATGAAAAGATGATTCTAGGACAAGTTCTACTAAGAGAAGACAAAGATGATAGGAAAGAGAGCCAGAAAAGGTAAATAACAACGCCAATAGTGGGATCGGTTAGGATATGTAACCGCAGCGACCCGAAAGGCAACGGCTGGCGGTGTTTGATGTTAGATTGATGTAACCGACGGAGTTTCGCAATGGACCGAGATTTGAAGCTCGAATGAAGCGTGACATTGGTTGGGTAAATAATGAGTGACGGCGTGGGTTAGGATCTAGCGAGTGCGACAAGCGCTGTGACAAGACTTGACGTGACGTAGCATCTATCTTAGTTAAAAATACCCTCGACAGGCTGCCTGCTCTTTCTGGTCGCAAAAGGAGTTGATTGATTCATCACCTGGCGACGAGTGGGTATGGGTTGATTAAATTCCCGTCCAGCGATGGGGCCAAGCTTGTCACGGACTCACGGCTCACCTGTGGGCTGTAACGTGCTGGGGTCTTAGATCTAGGCCTCTC